CTTAATATTTAAAATCTTAGCAGTTGTGGTTTTTATTTATTATATATAAGAGAAGATCATTTTTTCGAACGGGCAATTATTAAGTATTTAATGCTGAGAGAAAAGGGGATGGAAAGCTGGGCAATCTGGGCTGGAAGCCCAGAACTCGACCGCCCATTGGTGCAGGCCACTCTTTACGGAGCCTGTGATGGTGGCAGGCAAGGTCATCAGGGTTCTCAGGGAAATGGAGAAAAGAAAAGGCAAATAAGGAATTTTTATTCAATTAAATTAAAATATTAGGTAAACTTTTTAAATTTTTTTTGGAACATGAAGAACTTTAGGAAAAAGAGATAATTAGTTTTGAAAAAAATTAAAATTAAAGTTTTAATCTTGATAAATGTACATCTTATACAATGCAGCTAATACTACAAGTGCAATAAACTTTTTAAATTTGATTAAACTAAAATTTCATACTTATATTTTATTTATTTATTACGCAAACAGATCTTTTGTGGTAGGAAAAAAACAATAAACAAACAATGATGGTTTCATATTAGTTAAATTAGTTATTTTTCCTTTTTATAATAATATTATTATTATTAGGATAAGATATAGGAATGAAACTAATTAACACACCACCAAAAACTTACAACAATTACCAACCAATAACATTGTACCCAAAAAAGTAAAGTTTTGTTTTTCTTCAGTTGAATTCCTTTTTCAATTATGAGTCAATTATTGCTTTACAAAACTATCTTTTATAGGTGCAAGAAAAACCCATAAATCAAAATTAAAATCAAAAGCAAAGATTGAAATCAAATAAAGTTTTTAGTTTGATGAGAATTTAAAAATAGGTTAAAAATTTATTATTATTTTTTTAATAAACTTTTAGTATACTAAAAGTAAATTGAATTATAATTAATTTAAAATCGAAGCAAATTAAATTATATATGTATAAAAAAGTTTTCTTAAAATCTCTTTCCATTCATACAATTTAAATTCAAAACGTTATTTTAAAAAATTAAATTTTTTTTATTTAATTTAATAAATCATTAGTAAATTTTTTTTT